GGAGGGCCGGGGGCGGGTTCCCCCGGGGGGGGGGGAGGAGGAATCCTGGGAGGAGGGAGATGTAGGGGACTCTCTGCCTCCACTGGCCCCCCACTCCCCAGCCCCCCACTCTCCAGCCAGAGAATGCTGTCCCCAGCCACAGAATGCTGTCCTCACTCCCGTCCCCACTGGCACTCTGTCCCCTGCTGCAGAACCCTGTCCTGTGCCCTCACAGCACCCTGTTCGCTCTCCCCTGCCCACAGCTGCAGACATTTGGCCTGTCTAGATGGGATCAAATGTCAGAAAAACCTTTTTTTGGAAGCCCCCTTATTCCTCGTGGAAGGAGGAATACAGGGGCTATAGAAAGAGCATGTTTGCTCTTCCACTAAAAAAAGCAAAAGAACAAATGTGTCCCTGGATGCAGAAGAGTTTTTCCGGATATCTCTGGAGTCCTGAAAAAACTCCTGTAGTCAGATGGAGGGTTGGGGGTACTAAGCAAGCCATAGGCTTGTGGCTTTGAGGGTGTGGGAATTTGGGTTAGGGTATGTGAGGGGCTCAAGGCAGGGGGTTCCAGTGTATGATAGGCTTAGATCTAGAGTGGGGGAGAGGACGTGCAGGAGTGTTCTGAGTCAGCGGTCACTGACCCACAGAAAAGTCAGTTGAGGGCCACACAAGTGAGATGAATAGCTTTTTCTGAAATAACTTTGCAGTGTAGACACAGCCTGTGACCAAGGGATTTGAATTACATCTGCATCAAAAAAACTGCAGTGAGACTGACTAGAATGAGGGTGGGAAATAATTTTTGGGCCTGGCTGGCCTGGAATGGGTGGTGCCTAATTTGGAAGGGGCGGGGCCAGAATACTTTGGGGGAGCGACAGGGCCTCTGTGGGTTGGATCCGGTCATTTTGCCCAACCCTGGTCTAGATGAATTCAGACCACGAATTGTTGTGAACTTATTATCGATGTAGAAGGATGTCTTCATCACAAGTCCCACTTAAGTCAAGGAGTTTTGAAGTGGGTGGCTGAATTTTTTGTCAACTTGTAAGTCACAGCTGTCAGTAGTGTTTGCAATCAAAATGTTGTGTGGTAGAGGAGCTTGGTGCTGCATTGAGCATGGATGATAGGGAAGGAGAAGATGTTGTGGGATGCATGGCACCCCAATGCGGTTGCCCCTGATGGTGCAACCTAAATGAATACTAATTCCTACCAAACCACATCTTCCTGTCCTAAAAACACCTCGGAAATTCAATACAAAAATCGACATCAAACCTCGTGGGATGAGGTTTACCGGGGCTGCCGACAAAGGGCTTTGATGTCGACAGGGGGAACGTCCAGACTAGCGCACAAGCCGACAAACAGCTGATCAGCTGTTTGTTTGCTCAGCGCGGCAGCCATGTAAATTTAAATGAAGCGGCGATTATTTAAATCGCCCCTTCATTTCCCTTTGCCCAATAAACAAATCTACATGGCTCGGTTGACGGAGCCATGTAGTGTAGACGTACCCTAAATGAATACTAATTCCTACCAAACCACATCTTCCTGCCCTAAAAACACCTCGGAAATTTAATACAAAAAACTTGACAGAGTGGTGGTATGTCACCCCTTGCAGAATGGTGAGTTGATTTAAAACTTCTGAAAATCAGGAAATAAAATGGTTT